AGCTGAACTGAAGGAGATTGAGACACGAAAAACCCTCCAAAAAATCAATAAATCCAAGAGCTGGTTTTTTGAAAAGATCAACAAAATAGACCACTAGCCAGATTGATTAAAAAGAAAAGAGAGAACAACCAAATAGATGCAATAAAAAATGATAAAGGGGAAATCACCACAGACTCCACAGAAATTCAAACCATCATCAGAGAATATTACAAACAACTCTATGCACATAAACTAGTAAACCTGGAAGAAATGGATAAATTCCTGGACTCCTGTATCCTCCCAAGCCTAAACCAGGAGGAAGCTGAAACTATGAATAGACCAATAACAAGGTCAGAAGTCAAGGCAGCAATTAAGAGCCTACCACACACAAAACAGCCCAGGTCCAGACGGGTTCCCAGCCGAATTCTACCAGACACACAAAGAGGAGCTGGTACCATTCCTTCTAAAACTATTTCAAACAATCCAAAAAGAGGGAATACTTCCCAAATCATTTTACGAGACCAACATCATTCTGATACCAAAACCCGGCAGAGACCCAACAAGAAAAGAAAACTTCAGGCCAATATCCATGATGAACATAGATGCAAAAATCTTCAATAAAATATTGGCAAGCCGAATGCAACAGCAAATCAAAAAACTTATTCACCATGATCAAGTAGGATTCATCCCGGGGATGCAAGGCTGGTTCAACATACACAAGTCTATCAACGTAATTCACCACATAAACAGAACCAAAACCAAAGACCACATGATTATCTCAATTGACACAGAGAAGGCATTTGACAAAATTCAACAGCCCTTTATGCTAAAAACCCTCAATAAACTCGGTATCGATGAAACGTATCTCAAAGTAATAAAAGCTATTTATGACAAACCAACAGCCAATATCATACTGAATGGGCAAAAACTGGAAGCATTCCCTTTGAAATCTGGCACTAGACAAGGATGCCCTCTTTCACCACTCCTATTCAATATAGTTCTGGAAGTTCTAGCCAGAGCAATCAGGCAAGAAAAAGAAATAAAGGGTATTCAAATAGGAAAGGTGGAAGCCAAATTGTCTCTATTTGCAGATGACATGATAGTATACCTAGAAGACCCCATCACCTCAGCCCAAAAACTCCTGAAACTGATAAGCAACTTCAGCAAAGTCTCAGGATATAAAATCAATGTGCAAAAATCACAAGCATTCATCTACACCAATAACAGACTTAAAGAAAGCCAAATCAAGAACGAACTGCCATTCACAATTGCTACAAAAAGAATAAAATACCTTGGAATACAACTCACAAGGAACGTAAGGGACCTCTTCAAGGAGAACTACAAACCACTGCTCAATGAAATCAGAGAGGACACAAACAGGTGGAGAAACATTCCATGTTCATGGTTAGGAAGAATTAACATCGTGAAAATGGCTATACTGCCCAAAGTAATTTACAGAATCAATGCTATCCCCATCAAGCTACCATTGACTTTCTTCACAGAACTGGAAAAAACCACCATGAACTTCATATGGAACCAAAAGAGAGCCCGCATAGCCAAGTCAATTCTAAGCAAAAAGAACACAGCGGGGGGCATCACACTACCGGATTTCAAACTATACTACAAGGCTACAGTAATCAAAACAGCATGGTACTGGTACCAAAACTGAGATATAGACCAATGGAACAAAACAGAGGCACTGGAGGCAACACAACATATCTACAACTATACAATCTTTGATAAACCTGACAAAAACAAGCAAGGGGAAAAGGATTCCCTGTTTAACAAATGGTGTTGGGAAAACTGGCTAGCCATGTGCAGAAAGCAGAAACTGGATCCCTTCCTGACACCTTACACTAAAATTAACTCCAGATGGATTAAAGACTTAAACATAAGACCTGGCATGATAAAAACCCTAGACGGAAATCTAGGCAAAACCATCCAGGACATAGGAGTAGGCAAGGACTTTATGAACAAAACACCAAAAGCATTGGCAACAAAAGCCAAAATAGAGAAATGGGACCTAATGAAACTCCACAGCTTCTGCATGGCAAAAGAAACAGTCACTAGAGTGGATCGGCAACCAACAGAATGGGAAAAAATTTTTGCAGTTTACCCATCTGACAAAGGGCTGATATCCAGAATTTACAAAGAACTCAAACGGATTTACAGGAAAAAAACAAACAAGCCCATTCAAAAGTGGGCAAAGGATATGAACAGACACTTTACGAAAGAAGACATATATGAGGCCAACAATCATATGAAAAAATGCTCATCGTCACTGGTCATCAGAGAGATGCAAATCAAAACCACATTGAGATACCGTCTCACGCTGTTAGAATGGCGATCATTAAAAAATCTGGAGACAACAGATGCTGGAGAGGATGTGGAGAAAAAGGAACACTTTTACACTGTTGGTGGGAGTGTAAATTAGTTCAACCATTGTGGAAGACAGTGTGGCGATTCCTCAAGGCCTTAGAAATAGAAATTCCATTTCACCCAGCAATACCATTACTGGGTATATATCCAAAAGACTATAAATCGTTCTACTATAAGGACACATGCACATGAATGTTCATTGCAGCACTGTTTACAATAGCAAAGACCTGGAATCAACCAAAATGCCCATTGATAATAGACTGGATTGGAAAAATGTGGCACATATACACCATGGAATATTATGCAGCAATCAGAAATGATGAGTTTGTGTCGTTTGTAGGGACGTGGATGAATCTGGAGAATGTCATCCTCAGCAAACTGACACAAGAACAGAAAATGAAACACCGCATATTCTCACTCATAGGCGGGTGATGAAAAATGAGAACACATGGACACAGAAAGGGGCGTACTAAACACTGGGGTCTATTGGGGGGAAAAGGGGAGGGCCAGTGGGAGGGGGTGGTGGGGAGGGATAGCCTGGGGAGAAATGCCAAATGTGGGTGAAGGGGAGAAGGAAAGAAAAGCACACTGCCATGTGTGTTCCTACGCAACTGTCTTGCATGCTTTGCTCATGTACCCCAAAACCTAAAATCCAATAAAAATTTAAAAAAAAAAAAAAGAATGTAAAAGAGTTACTTACTCTATGATTGTACTTACTCTACAATTTTCTACAAATGTACTTACTGTACAATTTTTATCACCTAAAATCAACCAGTTAACAGCACCTGCTGACTATAGGTGCTTTTCAATGTTACCTATTGACAAAAAACTTTCAGGTCTAATTTACATTTACTTCTTTTAATAAATATAAAGCTAAGGATCATTGGAATGAATGCATTTTTTAAAGAATAATTTTTCAACATAAGTTTTGGAAAAATCACATTAAGTGTATAGTTTATTTTAACATCTATTCATTTTTCAGCCTACAGATGGCAAAAAGGCTTGAATCTGAAACTTTTATTTTTACAGAGAAATATTTTACTTTCACAGATCATACTTTATGCTCAGTAGAAACAAAGCATTCATTCAATGTAGAGTTATTATCACCATTTTATGCGTCAGAAAAGGAAGTAAAGTGATGATCACAAAGCCACTCAGCAGTATGCTCAAGTCCAAACCCTGGAACCTTGTCCAGAGCCCCTAGTGTCACCATCCATGTCATCTCCCTGTGTGGGACAGAACACAATGCTAAGTTAAAACACACACACAGGACCCAATTAAATATAATTTTTATGCCAATCTGAGAAAAATGACTTCATAGCTGTGTGATTTTGAGCAATACACTTAACCTCCCCATGAAGGATGGTATGAGAACAAACAGATTTGTAGCACGTGTATCAGTCTGGTACACAATGTCCTATGAAGGTTAACTTTATTATCACCATCACTATTATTGCAAAAAGACTTTCAGTTCAGAATAAGACAGCACAGTTAAAAAGATCTACTTTTATTTTCCAGCTTCTTAACTGAGTCATCTTTCAGCCCCTTTTAATTAAAAAGAAAAAACAATCAGAGATCAAATGGGGTATTGGGAGGATACACAATATGACTAACAGGCACTAATATTACTACACTTACAGTCTTTGGAAGGCGGGGCATACTTATCCAAGAACTGCCTAAATTTTTACAGTAACACACCCAACATGATAATCTTCCATATTAGAAATTCCATATTTCTCTCCATACTAGAAATAATCGTTCCATATTAGAAATATGGATCTGGACTAAGTAACAAGGGAAACGATTCAAATTTGCCAGTGCTGTTGTTTGTGTGTCTTCAGATGGGTGAGGAAGAAATGTGTCAGCAAGCAATGCACCCTTTCTTTAGTTTTTTACTTACTGTGCTCTAAAGATCATTCAAATAAAAATGTTTACTCTTGGATGCTTAACCTTGGTTCTGACAGAATGTTCCCTGTATCAAAAAATAAGAACTCAGCCAACAAACTTCTTGGAGTTAAATAATTGCATAAAGACTATGTCCAGTCATAGCTAAACCCCCTCCTGAACCCGAGACTATGATTCTCAATTTTCATCAAAGTTCCTACCATCTCCCACTTTGTACAGACCCTAAAGAAGTGAATGAAAAAGCCAAAGTTCCTGTCCTTTGCTGTCACTCAGTAATGAGCAGTTTCATGTGGCAATACAAAAACTGGGGTTTAAGAAACAGATGCATACTGACACTCTGGATCGGCAATCATGAAAACCCCAGCACTGCCCGCAAAGATGCCGTGTTAACTCCGCTCCAAACAAGGTTCTGCTGGCTGCTGTCATTGTCTGAGTGGGCAGCAATGTGGAGATACCGCCATAGGATACTTTACAGGCTTCAAAACACCTCCCTCCCTCCAAGCCATTTAACCTTCTAAACCACACAGTACGGTACAGCAGGAGCACTGTCCCCCTGAGGCAAGGAAACTGAAGTTCAGGGAAGTTTCTTGACGTGCCGAGATCTCCCCGCTACTTTGGCTCTAAGAAACTCAAGCTTATGGATTCTGTGTCCTCTTCACGCTCCCACCACATCTGCAATTCAAAGATCCTTCCAAATTCCATTGTAATAATCTAGCAAGGGCAGCTCTCGAGTATACCTTTCCCTCTGAGTCTTAATTTCCACTCAAGGCGAAATAACACTTCCTCTGAAAGTTCTCCACGCTCTACAAGCAGACAGCATCAAGTTCGCAGAGGATCCCTATCAGTCTCAGCCGGTGAACTTCACACGTGGCGGGTTGGGGGAACGCTCGCCTGACCACGTCCGGGGTGGGCGGGGAGGGAGTGTGGCGGGGGCGGCGACGCTGCGTAAGGCGCTCCCACCAAATAACACGCCGCAGTTTCACACTCTAGCCTAGCTCAGTAATGTAGCAAAATGTTTGTTTTTCTGCCATCAGATATCCACGACTTTGGGTGTATTGAGGACGATAACCGATTAAAGACACTGATCCCGGAACACTGCGCCTGGGAGGACGCAGGGCGCAGGCTCTGCAGTCACTGAGAGTCGCCCTGCGTAAAAGCGCCCTGAGGTCCCGCTTCTGCGCCCTTCCCGGCTCTAGCCCAACACAGGGTTCACCTCACTTCATAAAGTCAGCGAGGTAGAAATCCGCCATCCGGGAGGAGCCCTTTCCTACGGTTTCCAAAGGGTCCCCGACACCGCCCTAACCGACCCTAGATACCTGGGTGTCTTTACTGGGCACAAACCTCTCTGGCGCCCCTTCCACGCTCCCACCTCTCTGCGGCGCTCCCTTCCTGTTCTCCAACCACCCTCTCCGCCTCGCGCTGGTCCTCTCTCGCCCGCGACCCCGCCCGCCTCACTCGGGCGGTGGAAAGCTGCGCCGGGGAAACGTCACGTGTCGGGTCCTTGCTCGCTCGGCTCCGGGCAGCGTTCAGTGGCCACGGCGCTCCCCTTAGCAGCAGAAAGGGGAGAGAGGAGAGCGACCGAGGAGGGGGCAGCGACGCCCCGACGCCCCTCCCGTCCCACACGGGGGCCACCGTAGCCCTCAAGAAGCTCCTCAGGGAAGCGAAGCGCCACTCTAGCTGCAGGCGCCTAGACGCCGCCGAGACGGGAGGAACTCCGGCCATGCGCGCCCTACACCCGGGCTGCGGCGCCCCGGCCTCGGCCGGTCCTCTTAGAAATCCCTCCCTGGCCTCCCTTCCGGGCCAGACGCAACGAAGCTTTCGGGGGTCGAAGACCTGACAGCAATGAGTTCCCAACCCCACATGCCCCAAGCAGCAGTATTTCGCGTTCATACAATTGCCTGAAATAAAGAATGAGTCTGCCCTGAAATCGACCGTGAGCTACCGTTCTCTGACCTCTGCTGGCTGCTTCACTCAGAGTCGGAGTCCGACTCATTTAGGACTTCACTGTCCGCGTTAGTTCCGCCTTCACTGTCAAGCAACTCGTCACCACGTCTTTTGCAGCGAAGGTTTGGGATCCCATCACTAGTGTGCCGTGGGTAGTCCTGAGATCGTGGTGGTGCTAGAAGAACCTGCCAACCAATATGTTGTTTTCACGAATAGAAATTTGAGCAGTGGCCGGGCGCTGTGGCTCACGCCTGTAATTCCAGCACCCACTTGGGAAGCCGAGGCGGGCGGATCTCTTGAGGTCAGGAGTTCGAGACCAGCCTGGCCAACATGGTGAAAGCCCTTATCTACTAAAAATGTAAAAATTAGCCGAGCGCGGTGGTGTGTGCCTGTAATCTCAGCTACTCAGGAGGCTGAGGCAGGAGAATCTCTGGAACCTCGGAGGTGGCGAGATTGTGCCATTGCAGCCCAAAACCAAACCCATTGCATTTTCCTGGGTTCCCTGGCTTTGTCTTTTGTCACTTCCAGCATGGAGAAAAGGCACTGGTAATTTGGGCTTTACTTGCCTGGCACCTCTGGCATAGAGTGGTAGCGCTGTGTACTAGTTGCTGCCATTTTCAGATAAAATCTTGAATGAATATGACAAAAGTCAGATGAATACTAGCTGCTGATCACCCCGCTTCCCTGCTTACCTGCAAGAACTCTGGATATTTGGTATATTTAGAATTCCAAATACAGTATCTCAGGAATTCAGGTCAGTTGAAGAACTATTGGGAAGGGGTTACCTTAAATGAAAGAAAAAGGTGAGGCTGTGTTAACAGTTTTTGAGTATCAGCTCTGTGCCAGGTATGTTTTCTTATTATTTTCGGCAAGCCTATGAGCATCCCTGAGAATAACAAATCATTGTTCCCATTTCACAAGGGGGAATCTATGACTTAGAGAGCTTAAGTAACTTCCCCAAGGTCACAGAGCTAGTAAGTAGCACAGTTAGGCTTTGAAGGCAGGTGTACCTAACAACAAACCCTATGTTCAATTCTACCATACCACCAGCAAGATAGAAGATTAATGAACTAAAGGGACCAGGCAAGAGCGTGTTTCAGGGATATTTAAAGGGAAAGTGGAGTCAAGAGGAAGTTAAAGAATCTTGAAACGAGGAAATGCCATGCCAGTAAATCAGTGAGTCAAAAACCAAAAACAACTGGACTAGTTGTCAGTTGGGACATAGTCCAAGGCAAGAAAATCATTCTTATAGGGACATTAGGCTATTCTGGACCAAGATTGTGGGCTTTCGTCATCCCCTCTGAAGCCACTCTGAAATCACCTTTATCAAAACTGCCATAAGGCAGGCCTAGACACTGTCACATGGACCTCCTACTAAATCTGAGTATAGACGCTCAACCTCTGGTCACAGATGCAGGAGGTCCACACTCTGAAAGAGTATATCTGGGACTAAGGAGGAACATTCAAGATGGGTTTTTCAAGTTAGGAATGCTCACTGGAAATCTGCTCTGTCCCCTCTGAGATCTGGAAGTAGAATTTTCCAAGCACTAAATGCTGAGGCGTGGGCTTTCCAAGAATTGTCTCATTGGTTAATTCTGAGAATGTCACTGATCATTACAAATGGAGCACCATGCAGGAAAAGGAAAGGCTGATTTGGGTTTTTTTCATGGGGAAGGTGAACTTCCAGATCACAGTACCTTCCAAGACACAGGGCTTGAAAGCAGTGAGTATCAGGGACGACTCACCATGTTAGCTAGCCCAGCTGGGCTCAGGCCCAGCACCCACTCATCACACACAAAGCTCCATTGTGGCCAGGGCAGCCTCATAGAAGACTAGCTGCCCGCCAAAACCCAGCCAGGCTTCACAAGAAGTGATTTGTGCTGTGAGCAGAGCTTTGACCCCGATTTTGAACTCATCTGACAGCAAAGGGGAAATCAGTCTCTATACAAAACAGGAAGGAAATGAGATGAACTGCATAAAAAGCTACCAGAGGGTGCCTAATGGCATCCTCACCACACAGAAGTCCCAGGAAGAAAGACTGATGATGTTGCATGGGAGAGAAGCCCAGACAAGCACCAGGGAGGAAAAGAACAGAGGGAAGCTGCATTTGGCCTAGCTGTTTCTCTTCCTCCTTGCCTGTCTGACTTAAACAGCCACTGTCTGCAAAAGGATAAATTTGTATGTATCTACTTACATGAGGAACCTAGAATAGACAAATTCATAGAAACAGAAAGTAGAATAGAAGTTGGCAGGGCATGACAAAATGGGGAATCAGGGGTTATTGCTTAATGGACACAGAGTTTTCTGTCTGGATGATGAAAAACTTCTGGAGAGAGATTGTAGTGATAGTTGCACAATGCTGTAAATGTACTTAATGCCATTGAATTGAACACTGAAAAATGGTTATCATAATACATTTTGTTATATTTTACCACAAATATATATATATATACGTATATATTATTTATATATTTCACATATATATATGTGAAATATATAAATGTATTATGATGTCATTCCTCTTTGGGGTAAAAGCCCAGGTGAAAGCAATCAGCTGAGAGGGCCCCTACACCTGAAAATTCTTCTCTTGAATTTTGGGGGTTTTTTTTGTCTTTTTATTTTTATTTGTATTTATTTATTTTTGAGATATCACTCTGTCACCCAGGCTAGAGTGCAGTGGCGTGATCTCAGCTTGCTGCAACCTCCGCCTCCCAGTTCAAGCAATTCTTGTGCCTCAGCCTCCTGGGTAGCTGGGATTATAGGCATGCAACACTACACCCAGCTATTTTTGTATTTGTAGTAGAGACAGGGTTTCACCATGTTGGCCAGGCTGGTCTTGAGCTACTGACCTAAGGTGATCTGCCTGCCTTGGCCTCCCAAAGTGCTAAGATTACAGGCGTGAGCCACCACACCCAGCCTTTTTGCTTTAAGAAAATTTTTTTTTGAGGCAGTGTCTTGCTCTGTTGCCCAGAGTGGAGTACAGTGGCATGATCATAACTCACTGCAGCCTTGACCTTCCAGGTTCAGGTGATCCTCCCACCTCAGCCTCCTGAGTTACTGGGACTACATGTGAATAGCACCACACCCAGCTAAATTGTTTATTTGTAGAAATGAGTGTTTGCCTATGTTTCTCAAGCTAGTCTCGAACCCCTGAGCTCAAACGATCCTCCCACCTCAGGATCTCTTGAGGTCAGGAGTTCCAGACCAGCCTGGCCAACATGGTGAAACTCCATCTCTACTAAAATACAAAAATTAGCTGGGAGTGGTGGTGGATACCTCAGGAGGCTGAGGCAGGAGAATCGCTTGAACCCGGGAGGCAGAGGCTGCAGTGAGCTGAGATGGCACCATTGCACTCCAGCCTGGGCAACAGAGCAAGAATCTGTCTCAATCAAATAAATAAATAAGTCTTAATCTATTTTGCTTTCCATTTAGGGGTTCCAGGGCCCAGCTTTTGGGTTGTTACAACCCCTTGTTTAGAAGGAAGAGTAGTTCTGCCATTTAACTCTTTGCTCCAGCTGGTGATAAGGAGCTGGGGGTTTGTGGTGGCATACTGAGAGCTGTGCTTCTAAAAGGGACTCTACCTTTGAGGACTAAGCTCTGATTTTTTTTTCATCTTGCCCAAATTCCTTTGTAAGAAGTCTGGGGAGTCATGCCCTACAAATCAGAAATTCTCCTCAGATGGGTTTTATTTAATCCTATATATATTGTGGCTTACTTTCCAATCTGACTGTGGTATAGCATCACGAGACAAGGAAGAAAATAAAAATATTTTACCCCAAAACATATTTCTTTACCATATTTTGAAATGTCCCTGCAAAGCCGTCCTTTGCGGGGGATAATCTGCATCTGCAAAGAATCTCTTTTAAAATGGCTAGATCATTTTCTTCCAGACCCTCCCAATCCTGAAGAAATGAACTCAGATCTGAATAGGAAACATTCGTCATCTATTGTCTCTAAGACACTATTAGGCTGCAAAAAGCTTTGGTCACCACAGTTTTTATCTTAACCTGAATATTTCCTTTCTCTGAATCCCACGTTTTTAGACAAATTTAACCAATTGTCAACCAGAAAATGTTTAAATTCACCTATAACCTGGAACCCACCCCCACCTCCCATCACTGCCAGCTTTGAATTGTCCTGCCTTTCTGCACCAAACCAAGTATTTATTTTTCTTTCTTTCTTTACTTTTTTTTTTTTTAATTATACTTAAGTTCTGGGATACATGTGCAGAACGTGCAGGTTTGTTACCAGGTATACACATGCCATGGTGGTTTGCTGCACCCATCAACCTGTCATGTACATTAGATATTTGTCCTAATGCTCTTGCTCCCCTAGCCCCCCACCACCCGACAGGCCCTGTGTGTGATGGTCTTCTCCCTGTGTCCATGTGTTCTCATTGTTCAGTTCCCACTTATAAGTGAGAACATGCCGTGTTTGGTTTTCTGTTCCTGTGTTAGTTTGCTGAGAATGTTGGTTTCCAGCTTCATCCATGTCCCTGCAAAGGACATGAACTCATCCTTTTCATGGCTGCATAGTATTCCATGGTGTATATATGCCACATTTTCTTTATCCAGTCTGTTTTTGATGGGCATTTGGGTTGGTTCCAACTCTTTGCTATTGCAAACAGTGCCACAATAAACATACATGTACATGTGTCTTTATAATACAATGATTTATAATCCTTTGGGTATATACCCAGTAATGGGATTGCTGCGTCAAATGGCATTTCTAGATCTAGATCCTTGAGGAATCGCTACACTGTCTTCCACAATCATTACACTAATTTACACTCCCAACAGTGTAAAAGTGTTCCTGATTCTCCACATCCTCTCCAGCATCTGTCATTTCCTGTTTTTT